CGCCCGGCTCCTGCAATTATTTTTATATATGTTTGTTTCCTACTAAGCAGGGAATTACCTGTAGGGCCTCTCTTTATAACCCCAGTCCTATACATGATAGTATATAACAGGCATTCTATTAAATTTTCCTTAATAAACAAAGGGCTCCCCTCCCCCTCTACTGACTACTCTCACATTGGACCTATAAGCCCTGCTGTTCCATTTGAGGAAACTAATTTTGCTGACTGCAGCCCTTGGTCCCACCTTATTAGTTCTAACTGCAATCCCATTAAGTCCATCCTGATCCTTTAGCTCTAGCCTCTACTTCTACCAGCTGAGTCCTCTGGTTTGTTTCCCACCTTCCCATTCAAATTCATGTCCACTGTCCAGCTGCTCCGAGTCTGAAGGTGTCTCCAATTCGTCTACCTCCAGGTCAGAACTGCCATCAGGAGAGGAAGGTGTAGACTGGGTGGGCGAAGCTCCATCATTTCCAGGCCCCTTAGTCAGACTCAGCCGCAACTCTGGGGCAGAAAGACGCTTGCGCATGGGGCGCTGGCCACACAGGGCTAAAGTGCTGGGGGTACCTGCAGTTGGAGAAAGGGGGAAAAAGAGAACCAAGATGGGTGTGTGCGTTGGAGGGCCGAGAGGGCTAGAATTCCTGTATGTGAAAGTGATAATATGGGGTGAATGCTGAAGAAGGACTGATGCAGGGGAGATTTGGGGAAGGGGGAAATGGAACTGTAAAAGGATAGAGGTGGTATAGCCCTTTACTGGACTGGAATCAAGAACTTGAGGCCTGGTTTCTACTTGACCTACCTGCCTGTGAATCTCCTTTAGGGTCTCCAGGATCTTCAGAAGGGTCAACCTCCTCAGGAAGCAATCTAGAGGGGAAGAGATTAAAAGGCGGCAGAGATATACACCAAAGGCATCAAGCCTGGACTCAATATATAGGTTCTCTCTCCCCACCATGATTTTATCACCTATGCTTTCTCTTTTTTTAATTGTTTTTTGAGACAGGGTCTCACTCTGTTGCCCAGGCTGGAATGCAGTGTCACAATCATAGCTCACCGCAGCCTCTACCTCCAGAGCTCAAGCAATCCTCCCACCTCAGCCTCCCGAGTAGCTGGGACTACAGGTATGCACCACCACACCTGGCTAAATTTTATATTTTTGTAGAGATGGGGTTATGCCATGTTGCTCAGAGAAGTCTTGAACTTCTGAGCTCAAGTGATCCACCTGCCTTGGCCACCCAAAGTGCTGGGATTACAGCCATGAGCTGCTGCGCCATCCCCTCCGTCCATTCGTGACCATCCCTCCCTTCTCCCAGCCGCCCTCACACATCCTCACCTAGGGAATTCTTCATCCTGCCATTCCTCCTTCAGCTCCAATTCCCCATGTCTCAGGGCTGCTTCTAGTTCTGGGGCTTCTGCAATCTCCCTGACCCTAACGACAGCCCCCCAAGAAGAAAAGATTAAGGGAATTGAATAGTAGGTAAGAATAACTGAAATGAAGAACAGTAATTGAGATACAGAGCAGAGGGCAGGCCTTCAAAAGAACTTAGATCTCTTGCCTCCTATACAGATGTTTCTCTTACCTTCACCACTTGCTAGAAGTAGATTACCTGCTTGTTGGGTTTGAGAGCAGAGGAAAGATGGAATGTAAAGTTAATCATATTTACCTCCATAGCAATTGCTCCACCTACGAAGTTGGGGTTAGAGATATCCCACATTACAATGGGCTGGAACCCAGCTAGACCCACCCAGCTATCACTGAGCGAAGTCAGGAAGACGGCACCTAGTCAGGCCTGCCTTTCCTCCACCCAGCTGGGGAGTGGCTAAGGGAAAACATGGCATAGGTGGAGGGGTGGAGGAAGAAGGTAAGGAGAAAGATTTGCCACAACGAGATCCTGGACCTAAACTCAGTTCTGGTTCAGCTTTCCTAATGGCCATTCTGGAGGGTGAGGGTTAGAAAACAAAGAACACAGGCAGATTTATCAGATACAACATATTATAGAAACTTCCTTTATTTTTAAACCAGGGAATTATCCTGGAATCCCCTGTTCCCCAGATCCATACCATACTGACATTTCCTACCTACAACCACCCTCATCCCTGCTCTGCAAATTCTCTTACAGTCTTGTCTCCTTGAGGAACACGAGATTTGACCCAGTAAGAGCTGGGTGGTGGGGAAGTCTCTCAAGACTATTTATTCCCTGTTACCAATCAAGTGAGCCAGGATCTTACTTACCCAACATCTGTCTTTTTTCCTGCCTCTTGTATAGTTCCCATCTTCACAAGTCTTCCTGCCTCCTTCTTTAAACACCTAGGAGTTGTTGGGGAGCTGGTTGTCCCAGCCCCCAACACTTCGTTACCTCGTTTCTGTCTCAGCTGTTGTAGTTCTTGCCTCCAAGGAGGGAGGAGTGGAGGGGAGGTAACCTCATCTTCAAACAGGTTTTGCCACCTCCTCTCCCCAGGAGCAGGTTTGCCCAAAAGAAAAACCCTGCCTCCTGTGAGGGGGCGGATTTTGGGGAGGAGAGTGCATTTTCTAGGGGGGGCCAGTCTTGGGTGAGTCTAGGAAAGCAATTGTTCTCCTTTCCAGACGCCATATATCCCTCTCAAAGTTGCTCTTTACACAAACAAGCAAAAAACCAGTAGGAACCGTTGTGTTTCTGGCTGGGTGTGGTGGCTCACGCCTGTAATCCCAACACTTCAGGAGGCTGAGGCGGGCGGATCACCTGAGGTCAGGAGTTTGAGACCAGCCTGACCAACATGGAGAAACCCCGTCTCTACTAGAAATTTAAAAAAAAAAAAAAAATTATCCAGGCGTGGTGGCGCATGCCTGCAATCCCAGCTGCTCGGAAGGCTGAGGCAGGAGAATCACTTGAACCTGGGAGGCGGAGGTTGCAGTGGGCCGAGATTGCGCCATTGCACTGCAGCCAGGGCAACAAGAGCGAAACTCCGTCTCAGAAAAAAAAAAAAAAAGAAAGAAAAAAAAAGAAAAAGAAACCATTGTGTGTGTTTCTAAGATTATGTTATCTTGGGTCTACTTTTCAAAAAAAAAAAAAAAAAAAGAAAAAAAAAGAAAAAGAAACCATTGTGTGTGTTTCTAAGATTATGTTATCTTGGGTCTACTTTTCAAGCATAAGGAAAACTGGGGAAACAGAAGCATGTTATAAGGAGGTTTCTGGGAGAATAAACAAGTTGAACGGGAGGCTGAGGATGAGGGGAGACAAAAGCCTGTTGCTCCTTATTCCCAAAAAGAGTCAACAGAAAGAAGACATTAAGTATAGTAGGAAGAAGGGAGATGAATTTTGAGGAGACTGAAACAATTATCAGAGAAAGGCCTGAATACCCTTATAAAAAAAGACGGTAAGACCCCCAAACAGGAAAAAAGTATTTTTAATACTATAACAAAATGCAAAATAAAGTACCCAAGTTACAAAACATAAATTCCTTTGGTTCATAATCACACCACTATTTTTACCTTCCACATAGCTACAGACATCACACCCTCAAAGTGAAGTCAGACTGTCCCCCTCATACTGAAGATGTCATGCCAAAACCATCACATACCCCACTGTTCAGTGAAACTGTTGGCAGCTTACATGGAACAGAGCTGTGGAGTAGGAAAAAGGGGAAAGGGTTGGGTTAAAGAAAATGGGGAGACTCTACACATGCAGAACAAGTCAGTGAGAGGGAGCTCTCTGCTGGGTCAACACGTCATGAACCACACCCCTATTCATGCTACATGAGGCTGAGTCCTTGCTACAACCACACAGAAATACAGACAATCGAGTGAACCTGAGCACCCCCAGGGATAACAGAAGAAAAATACAGAGAAGCAGAGGAGAGAAAGAATGGCAGCAAGAGGCAAATCACAGAATACCAGGGAACACCTAGTCCAAACCCTGTTTTACAGATGGGGAAAGTGAGACCTGGAGTAGTGAAGTGTCTTGCCAAAATACATAGTCTATGGGAGCATTAGAACTCCATGCTTCCTTTTAATATGAGCAAGGAGAAAAAGAGACTGACAAGAAATTGATAGGCCTGCTAAGGCAGGAGACAGACCCAGGCCTCTCATTCCAGTTATGCTGTCTTTTTGGAAGAGTGCCTGTGAGGTCATTAAGGCCTTTCTAGGTGTTTTCTTGATTCTCAAGAATCAGGGTTCTGGGTGGCTCTGGGACAGAAGGGTTCAAAGAAACAGCCAGGCCACCTGATCAGGACAGAAGACAATGGCCTCTAATCTTCTCCCAAACTAGATCTGAAACAGTCACAATAAGCTCAGAATAGAAATTCAGCGATCTCTGAATCAAATGCCATCACCTAAATGGTGGCAAAAAAGAAAAGTCATTGAGCTAGCAATCTGCTGTAGGCTGAACACTGGAATAAGTTTCCAAAGTGCACTCTCTTTTCTCTCTAGCTTGAGGCAGGTATTCAATAAATACTTGAATGAATAAGTGAATAAATGAATACGTGGAGACCATCAATGAAAGTTCAGTTCCATGACAGATATTGGTTCTGTTCAAGATCCAAGCTGAGGACACTTTTGGGGACTACATTCTCTTTGTCCCACTGTGCTGGGACTGCAGATGTGTCACATCGCGCCCCTGGCAAATAAAATAGACAGAGGTGCAGATTTAAATAAAATTTGATTGGTAGAGATTAGGGGGAAAAGGTGGAAAGCCATTCTTAAAGCAGCTGCTTTCACTTTTTTTCTCCTCTCAGTTTTATGAGAACAGTATACCAGATCCTGGAGCAATGAAGACAGAATTGCTGAATCTCCAAACATCTCAAAACATGCATTTGAAGTGAGTCAGGTAGCCTCACCCACTACCTCCTCCCTTCTCAACAGTCATTTCTTGGACAGGGAGGCTGTGGTAGACTGTGACAGTGAGATCTGACTGCACTTCTCGAAGACAGCCTCAGCGGAGAGTTTAGGCAGCCCCTGATCTAGAGGGCACTCATCCACCAAGCTGTTCATGGGCGTGGGGGGCAGCGGAGGGTCCTCCTCATCTTGACTCAGTCCAGAAATCAGGGAGTTACTTGCCCTGTCCAATTCCTTGTTCACCTGCTCCCTGGACACATCCGCTGTCTCAGGCTGTCCTGAAGGGATCTTCATGGAGTCAAAATACACTGACAGGGCTTCCTGGAGCAGGGGCAGAAGTTTCTTCCGAGAGACCTGGGTGTTGCCTTGAAGATAGGCATGGAGGTTAGGGTGGGTGCTTGAGGCAGGGGTCAGCTTCAGGGGTGGAGAGTGGGAGCATTCCAGGACTCCACAGATCTAAAGAGGAGACAATAACAGGGAAATGATACACAACTTGCTGTAGCAAAGTGCTGAGGCTTCTAAGTGAGAGGTTTCCTCTATAGAAGAGGAAGCTTTCAAAAAGTAAGTCGGCAGGGTGTGGTGGCTCATGCCTGTAATCCCAGCACTTTGGGAGGCCGAAGCGGGCGGATCACCTGAGGTCAGGAGTTTGAGACCAGCCTGACCATCATGGAGAAACCCCATCTCTACTAAAAATACAAAATTAGCCGGGTGTGGTGGCGCATGCCTGTAATCCCAGCTACTTGGGAGGCTGAGGCAGGAGAATCGCTTGAACCCGGGAGACAGAGGTTGCAGTGAGCCAAGAT